AAAAATTAAAAAAAAACAAAACAAAAAAACCCCATGATTTGATTAAATTAAAAAACCAAAATGTTTGTATCTCCATAATATCCTGAATAAATAAATTAAAAAAGGCTTCTGCACAGTCAAGGAAACAATTAATAGAGCAAGTAGACAACCTACAGAATGGGAAAAATTATTTGAAAGCTATATATTCAATGAAGAACTAATAACCAGAATCTATAAAGAACTCAAGCAATCAGTAAGAAAAATCACCACCCATTAAAAAGTGGACAAAAGACATGAACAGAAGCTTCTCAAAAGAAGACACACAAATGGCTTATAAACATATGAAAAAATGCTCAATATCACTTATCGTCAGGAAAATGGTAATCAAAACCACAATGAGATATCGCCTTACCCCAGTCAGAATGGCCCTCATTAAAAAGTACAAATACAATAGATGCTGGCATGAATGCAGAGAGAAAGGAACATTTATACACTATTGGTGGGACAGTAAATTACTACAACCACTTGGAAAACAGTATGGAGATTCCTCAAATAACTAAAAGTGGATCTACCATTTGAAACTCCATTTTTTAAAAAAATCTGTAAAATAACAAAAATACCATATTTCATAGAATCTAAGACTATGTCACTATAAGACTAATTTCAGTAAAGAGGTTTTTAAATATGAAAACATGGCCAAATGAGATAGATAATACATCCTGATGGCACTGGGGTTAAGAGTGTAAAAACTGTGTATCTTAGGATCTATGATATATGGTAATACCCACCTTACAGGTCATGTCTCTTCTTGGTGAGGATTAAATGAGATAATATGTATCTGAGCGCAGCACCTGGTAAATGCTCAAGAAATACTGGAGTCTTCTATTGTTGTTATCTTGTTATTTAGAGCTGGTCACAATAGTAACAGAAGGATATACTTGACTCAGGTCCAGGTAGCAAAACAACCTGGATGTTGTCTTTTCTTTACTCCAGGATAAGATATGAGAAGCCAACATGCAGGAGGTAGGTCCAAAAGTAAATCTCAAATGAAGATTAAGTACAGAACATGCATAAAACTGACAAATAGAAAAAAACAGTCCTCTTTGCTCTACCGACAGAGACCCAGATCTGAGTCATGATTTTCCCAAATCCTGAATGTATAAGAGAAACATTTTTAAAAAGGGTATTGGTCCAATGGTGGGTTGCAGTCCTCCTTTGAATCTGGAGTAGGGGAAAGAAAACTTCCAGAATATTTTGCTAGCTTTTCTAGTGTTTGTTTTTTTTTTCTTCGCCTCTCACTAACAGCTTCTTCTGTTACATTCCCTATGACTTTTGAATGGACTGCTGATCCCTCACCGAAAACCCTCCGTGCAGCCTCCTGTGATGTGAGTTTTCATTTAGGCCTGGAGGGGTCTGTGGTGGGATAAAGAGGTGCCAAGAGTTGTCATTCAGACTCTTTTCACCTGCCTCCAAAGCAGCTGGTTCCTGGATTGGTCTAGGAGTGGGCCTCACGCCAACCAACAGCCATTCATTGTCTTTTGTTGCCAAAGACAATGCTGCCAGTGGTAGAACACTGATGCAGAAAAACTATGCCAGAATTGCCGCAAGTGAAAAAATGCCCGCTTTATTATGCCACTGCCTCTACAGCAGTCTACTTTTCTCACAGTTTGGGCTCAATAGCACTTTTGGAGACGTGATGGATGGAAGTAGGGTGTGTATGAACGTATTCAAAACACAGCCCATGTGATGAAAGTCAGCCTCATGCTCTCACGTATGTGACAGGTAAATACAATAAAAATGGCTCTCCTATAGAAGAAAAAGGCCTTATTATTTTTCAGGGAGATTCTAAATTGGTTACTTCTTCCATTTCTGATTTCAACTCGTTTCAGTATCAGAACTGATGTCAATGGTGTGTAAAGAAGGATAAAAAGGAGTTTGTGGCAGGAGTTTATCTACCTGGGCTGTCTACTTGCAAGAAAAGGAAATCACACGGAAATTCTGATTGACGGATTACGCCATGTAAAAATTAGATGTTAGGTGGTCACTACTGAATTGATAGCCTTTAAGGATTTTAAGAATGAAACTCAAGAGGCAGCTCTAGATCACAATGTCAGAGAAAAAATAATCACCCGAGGAGGAGACAGTGGCAACCTGAACATGGGGGCTGGCTGACTGCAGTTCACAAACACTGGCTTCGTTTCCTCTCTGTGGGCCAGTGACACGTGCACTCTGTGGCTTCACAGTCCTGCCCCAGGTCCAGAGTATGATGTGGCACAGTTTGGGAGTGGAGCTGAGTCACCATCCCATGCATATCGTGGTATACCTGTGCCATGCTCCTGCCTCCTAACTCCTAGATCCACTAAAGGACCCGTTGGGGACAGCAAATTCCATTTGATTTCATTTCTCCTTAGGAAAAAATGTACCTGGTGATGTCATAAATTTCCTGAAACCAGTTTCCTTCAAGGTTGCCTTGGAAATTTTAAATATATACACAAGTTCTACCTTATGCATCCTTATGCATCTGAGATGTCATGATGGTGGGCTACCTGCTGTGGCCCAGCACGGTGAGGGGCTTATTCAATGGGGTTGAGTCTTAACGATCCTCTCACCTGGGCACCCTTGGATCAAGAACACAATTTGAAAGGTGAGTGGCCGGGAGACGGGTGTTAGTTTGCTATCTGCATTAAGTGAAGAGAGGACCTTGGTTTTATCAGCACCCATGAATTGACCACTTTCTCGGTAGCAACAACAGAAGCTTGAATCTCAACATTGGTGTGAATCCTACTTGTTTTTTTGGGAAAACCAAAAATTCACTGTCCCACGGCTTCTGCTAGTATTATCTGGACTTTCTGTGTGTGAACTGCAAACAGACACCCTCTCTGGGCAGATCAATTACAGCCCTCACTCTGTAAGGCCCTGGCTCCTGGGCAGGAGCAGCCTATGCAGTCCAGGACAGCCTCCAACCTGCCTAATCTTGAGAATGTGGCGAACTGGATCCACCAGCATGTATTATTGCCCCTAAAGTATGGAGAACTAATCATTATTACAATTGTACTCAAAGTAAAAAATTAAGTATATTAGTATTGTCAATTGGTGCCTTCTACCATTAGTCTATTTCATCAATGTTGGAACGGTTTTATTTTGGTTTATCGACTTTGATGCTTTTCAAGAGCAAAACTTTGTATTACTTCTCAGGGAGAAGCAGTTTCTAAAAGGTCTTTCCCTCCTATCCCTCCAAGCATGAAAACAGACCATTGAGTCCCTTGAGGTCAGATAGTGCTGACAAATTGGCCCCAGATCCATGGAAATCTGCTTCCCCTTTCCTCCTGCCGTGCCTTCCTTCCAGGTGACTCAAGCCAGGTAAGCCATCATTGCCCTGCTCTCTGGACCTCGCTGCCCCTTAGCAGGGTGCTGCTTTCGTGCCTGAAGTCCTGGCAGTGTTCACGGGGCATCAGACTAGAATCTATTTCCTTATTGGTTTGGGTCACTGAGCCCTTTGAGCATCAGAGGAGCTACAGATATCATCTCTAGAAAAATGCATACACCCCTAACCCCCAGTTTTTTTCATGCAGTTTTAGAATGTTCAGGAATCCCTGCCCAGAAAGGGGTGTACAATCTTTTTTTCTCGTGCCAGAGATCTTCTGGAAGTCTGATGATGCTATGGATCCCCTCTCAGAACAATGATTTTAGGTCCATAAAGTAAAACGTAGAGACTTTTAAGAGAAACTAATTATATTGACATAGTTATCAAAATTTTAAAACTTCTTGTGATATAAAAACAGCTATGGAGTTTTATATAAATGCATTAAACAACAATATCCAGTGGTGAGTCTAATAACTACTGTAAATTTGTACTGATGAGAATAAAAGATATTTTGCGATGCCTGCCACACACACCGCAGTGTGACATGAAAGCGTGTGTGACTTCCGCTGGTGGCAGGTGCTGCCAGTTCTCTGGGGTCTGCTGCCTGTGCTCATCATTGAAGGTAGTGCTAAATTTCAGCTAGAGGTTAATAAAAAATACAGGGGCATTTCTCTCCCACCCAAGCTCCTGGACCTTAGGTCAAGAACCCCTGAGACACCAGGGTTCTGGGTGTGGCTGCTGGGTGTGGCTCAGGGCCTGGCTGCCTCAGTCCCTTCTGCCTTAGGCCACAGAGGGGAACTCGGGGCTCCTGTTTCCCCAACTGAGACGACCTGAGGCCACCATGATTCTGCATATTCTGTCGGGAAAGCTAAAGAGGCACTCACAGTGGCCTCTGTCCCCATCCTCGCGTGTAGGGGGACTGAAGATGGGGAGAAAAGGGAGCCAGGGAGCCAGCTGCGAACAGGTAACTGCTGCCTCCCTGAGCACAGAGGCGAAGGTACAAGGAATCCCGTCTGTGAAGCTGCCCTGAGCCGGGGAGGTGGGTCTCTGTTGCGTCTACTAGCTTGGAGTGAAACAGACATTTTCCTCTTGCGCTGAGAAAGGTCTGAGGCACACTTTATTGAGTGCCATGACATCACCTTCTCAGGGATGCTCACCTGAGTGAGGGAGCCCTGTGCAGCAGCCTGCAACCCGGGGGGAGGGCCCGTTGGTTCTTTTTTGTTTTTCTTGTTCCCCCCGGTTTCTTGATTGTTGTTGAAAAATTGCTTTTTTTTGCCAAAACCGTTAGGCTTATTTTTTGGGGGTTTTAAAGTTTTGGCCCGTTCTTTGAAATTCCAAATTGTTTTCCTTTTATTGTTGGGGTTATGATTAGCTGAACTATTATTGAAAAACCAGGGAGAAGCAGAACTTTCCCATTGAGATGCTGGAGCTCAGGCCTGCACAAGAATAAAAAGTTCAAGTTCTAGACAAAAGAAAGTGCTTTTCCTGATGGGTTGTGGGAGAGATGACAAACTTCCAAGGAAAGGCTCTCAAAGCAGCGTCCTTGGCAGGGGTTCCCCTGAAACTGGGCTTCCTGGATATTTGGAGGCACATCATGACCTGATTTCCACCGGGAGAATGATCTGTGAAAGAGGCTCACAGAATGGCATCTGCTTACCAATTGTACGTCTTGCTTCATTTATGCTTTCTCCCAGGGCTTTTGCTTCAGAAAACCTGGAGAAAAAAATGAAACTTTTGCTTTTTCTGTTCATCCTATATTATGTTTTAAAAATAATAGATTTCTGAGAGGTTGCTAAAATATTATAAAACTTTGTTAAAAGACATAAAAGCAAATCTAAATAAGTAAAATGCATTAGGCTTAAAAATAGAGGACAAATTTGTATTAATTACAGGTATTGTGACATTTTGCTCTATCCAGCATAGAATTTTCATTCTCATATTCTCTAATGCATTACTTTTTATTTATATTGTTTTGTGATGCAAGGGTACCAGAATAAAGCATGGCTGTAAGGTTTCTATACTGTGATCTATTAATTACAGTACTAAGAACTTATAGTCAAAGAATATATACTTAAGTAACATTTTTTTTTTCCTGATTATAAAGTAATAATATATCAGAGGTTGGAAAGCTATGGCTGGTTATAAGAAAAATCCAGCCTGCTGCCTGTTTCTGTGAATAAAGTTTTATTGGAACCCAGCCATGCCTATTCATTCATATATTGGCTGTGGCAGTTTTCATGCTACAACAACAGAGTTGAGCACAGGTGACAGAGACCGCATGGCCTATTTAATACATGGCCCTTTATAGAAAAAGTTTGCCAACTCCTGTTACATATGATTATCAAACTAGATTTTGAGAATAAAAAAACAAGAAAAAAATCCCTAATAATAGCCTACCCAGAAATAAGCACATTTTGATATACATATCCACCCAGTCTTTTTTCTAGCCAGTTTTTATAGGGCTGAATCATAATATATAGATCTGATTTTGTGCCCTGATTTTTTTTTTTTCACTTAGAATTATATGTCCCTCCCTATATCATTAGAAATTCTTATCTTTGCTGGCTGCATACTAGTCTATGAGATGGCTGTGAGGATGTTTAGTTAATAATTTCTCTGTATTTTCTAACATATATTTATGAGACACCCACTATGAGCCCACATTTGTGCTAGAGAAGTGGTATAGAAAACGGCCTATATGAGAAACATGTAGTTCAGTCCCCTACGTATACTGTGCCCTTACGAAATGTTAGTTGTTTCACTTCCTCTCTTTTCTGCCATGGAATTAAAGAGGAAATCGAAAGCTTATGAGACCAAATACATAATATATGGCTGAATCAAACCATTGTGCTATCTTGGATAACACTAGTCACGCCATTGGACTGTGACAAGGGAGGGGCCTGTTCATGAGTGGGGGTTATCAGGGAAGCTTCATGTACAAGGCGGGATTGACCTCGGTTTTGTGGATGCACGGGAGTTTCTAGGAAACTTTTTATTATGGAAATTTCCAAATACATAGAAAACAGAGAGGATAGTAGAATGAACCCAAACACCCACCATCATATTTCATTAATTGTCCAATTTTATTTTAAATGTGTGCTCTCTCCCCTCTCTTCTTCCCACTATCCCCACTTCCAAATCTTGCTGGACCCCAGCAAATCCCAGATGTCGTATTGTTTCATCCCTACATACGTCAGTTGCATAGGATTTTGTTAGAGGAAATGGGCAGAGGAGGGCATTCCAGGCAGGGGAACAACATAAGCAAAGGCCAGAGTGCCACGACTGCTCTGTGCCTGGTGGAAAAGAAGTGTGAATTACATCATTGCTATTTTTTGAGCCTGTCTGCTTGGCCTGGAACTATAGACATGAAGTTTCCAGGGAAAGGGACTAAATTTTCTCTCAAAGTTAGGTTTCTTGTGAGTCCACCCCTGGCTCCCTTATTATGGCTGTTCAGGTGCATTGTAGATTATGTATGTTTTCTCCTTAGAGAGGTCCTGTCACCTTCTGGATAGAGGTCCAGTTCCATCTGATGCAATGTGAGCACTTGCATGCCGTGTAGGTCACTGTTCTTCGGCGTCAGCTCAGATGGCCTTTGCTGCTGGGCAGGCGTAATTCCGAGCTTGGTTCAGGCCGTTTGGAAGACGAGGCCCATCTTCATACTCTATGTTCTGCCAAAGGAGGGACGAGGACTGTGTGATCACTGCTATACCCATCCCCAGATTTAACAGGATTTGACAGCCACGCATTGCTTAATGAATGACTCCTCTTAGTGCCCACTCCATAGAGTTCTGGAAGCTTTAGACTCTTTGGAATAAGGAAAACACAAGAGCAAAGCTGCAAAACTGCTGAAATTCACGTCGATATTGGAGAAAACCAGAACACAGATAGAAAGGGAAATACTATAAACAGAAGAGCCAATTTCCACTGTAGTGCTGCCCAGTGAAGCCCCACAGGCCTGGGATGGAGTCCCCTAGCCTTGGCAGTTCCCGGATATCCACAGGGGCCTGGCAGAGGGGACCTGCTTGATGCTGTGGTCAACCCTCTCTGAAGAGCTGCCCCAGGCCAGAGCAGGCACAAACTGGGGGGAAGCCACGAGCCGTTCCAGTCTCTTTAGCTAAAAAGGGCTTTCCCACTGGAGAGGTGTGGTCGGAAGGCTGTGCCATCTTCATGAGACCATTTTCCCTTTGCTCTGGAAGTTGTCACCACTCCAGGCCACCCCACCCACATGTGTTTCTGAAGCCTGGTTGTCAAGACAAACTCTGAAAAGCCAAACCCTGAGGGAGGAGAGGGAAAGGGAAAGAAAGTGTCAAGGGACTTCGGAGAGATGAGAAGGTAAAGGAGGAGGCTAGATAAGAAGGGAGAAAGAGGGTGACCCCACCAGTCCTGCCATGTCCTTCCTGGCCTGCCTGCGTCTCCACACCTCCCTAGCCAGCCCGTCTCCCTTGCTCCCCACGCCCTCCCTTCCTCTGGCCCCAGGCTAAGTTCTGCTTTTCTGGACTTTGCTGGGGAAGCTTCCCGACTCCTGCAAGAGGCTCATCCCCCTTGATGAGATAGCTCAGGGCGCCAAGCTCTGTCCAAGGCAGCCAAATTATGCTGACTTTTCCCGGGGCTTGTTGTACCCCCAGACAACACCCTGAGCTGCTGCCGCTGTTGAGGACACGTGGTTTATGTGGCAAGGCTGCACCTTGGGGAGGGGCTGGGAGAAGGATCCGTGCCTCAGCCGGGACCAACCATGAGCTGCCATGAGTTTCTCGCTAGTGGAGCCAAAGCACTCCTATCAGGGTGTCACTAGCTGTGTGGCCCACTCTGGGGAGCGTAGCACAGCGGGGCGAGTCCCAGTGCGGATGCTGGCAGGCTGCTGTGTGCACCTGCCCAGAAGTATCTCCAGGCTGGGGCAAGGACTGGGCTTGGAAGGGGTAAGGCCTGGCTTCCCATGGCACCCAGCCCTCGCCATGTGCCATGTGAGGCAGGTACTTGCAGACACTAGGGAAGCACCCTGTCGCTGGCTTCCATGGCCCCGGCTCTCCTGTCTTTTTCACTCTCTCTCTGGCTGCTCCTTCTCAGTCTCCTTTGCAGACTCTTCTTCTGCACTTGTTCCTTGCTGGAGGCAATCCTCAGGACTTTGTCCTAGGCCTTCTCCTCGCTTTACCTACTCTCTCAGGGCATTTTGGCATGCCAGTGTCTTTTTTGCTCTCTCTACTGACACCTCTCAAATCTCCATCTCAGCCCTGCTTTAGTTCCTGGCCCATGAATCCAGGCGCCTGTTTGGTGCCCTGCAGATAACTAAAATTCGCTGTGTCCACTGAGAACAGATCACCTCCCCTGAACACCTCTTTGGAGAGGGTTGGCCACAGCCTCTGTCCCTCCTGTTGTTCCTCTCAGTGCACGGCGCCACCACTCACCCATGGCTCATGCAGCAACCTGCACATCATCCTCTGCTCCTCTCCCCAGCAGCCCTGCACTCGGTCCTAGCGTCCCAGCCATTCTTTCCTCATTATCTCGCATAGCATTGCACTCACTTCTTTCCCACCCCAACTGCCCCACAGCAGAGCGCTGCCGCCCCTCTCGCAGATTACTGCAGCCCCTGCTCGCTCCTTCCTCGGCATCCACGCCACCTGTCTTCAGGCTGGGCCCCACATTCCAGCCTGAGCGGTGCTTCATACGTGCAGATCCGATCCTGTTACTCCCCTGCTTAAAACTCCTCAAGGGCTCCCCAGTGACTTCAGGAGAAAGCTCCAATTCCAAAATAGGGCAACGTGGACTCTCCATGCTCTGGCAGCTGCTGCCTTCTCCAGCTTCGGTTCTTACATCCGCCCACCTTTCCAGGCTAGCCTGCATGGCTTTCAGTTCCACCAGGTATCACACTCTCTCTCACCTTGGGGACGCTCCTTCTGCCTGGAGCCTCTGTCTTCATCTGGCTGACTGCTACCTAGCCCCCCAGTTTCCGCCTCTGGATAGCTCTCCAGGACCGTGCACGTCTGCGGCGGGAACGCCCCCAGGCGCTCCACAGCGCCCTGCACTCCGTCACCGCAGGCGGGCAGCATGCATACTCTGTGCGAACTGCCTCTTTACGTGTTTGTTTCCCTTTTAATATCATAAACTCCACGAGGACAGTGTCCACATCCATCTAATTCACTCTTACATCCCTGGAGTTTAGAACAGGGGCTTGCACCTAGTAAGCATTCCATAAATATTTATAGAATAAAAGAAGATAAGCTTTGTGAGCAAGCGTGTTGCAAAGGCAGCTTGTGTAAGGGAAGAGCACTGGGCTGGGAGTCAGAAGCCGTGGGTCCTGTCCCTCCTCTACCTCTTAGCAGCTGGGGCTCAGAGTCCTCATTTCTAAGATTAGGATGAGACACCTCTCAGGGCGGGGTTGATGTGGAAAGCTCTTATGGGCAAAGGTGTTTTGTGGGTGTGAATTGTGAGCAGTGCAGGAGCCCCCGTGGAGATGTGATGAACTGTGAGGTGGGACTGCGTGTTGGAAGCAGTAACTACAGACGATAGTTTGTCTCAGCAAACCAAAGGATTAGAATGGGCAATGGCCAAGGACCCTCCAGACGGTTGCCAAGTTTCCCACCTTCAGTGGGAATGAAAAGTTTGGGGGAGTTAAGGTAGAATCCCATGCAATGTCCAAGACCAGTTCCTGAAAGGATCCCATCCTGCCCTTGGGATGGGAGTATCCCAGGCAGAGATACTCGTCATCGCTGGGGAAG